GGGCGTCGGGTCGACGCTCCCCAGTTGGGCGTTTCGGGGTACGTGCGAAGGAGGGCGCAGAAAAGGGGCCTTGCCGGAAGGGTCTGCAGATTCTCTCGGTTGTAATTTTCAGGATGAAGACCATTCTCAGCAACCAGACCGTTGACATCCCCGAGCGAGGTACGTCTGCCTGTGCGTTCGAGGGGCGCTTTGTGGTGCCGAGCTCGCAGCCGCTTAACCTGCGTCCGCCTTTGATTTCCAGTCAGCGTTTTGCTGAAGGGCCGGACAGTCATTGTGAAGGGCCCCAGAGGAACCTTGCGGAGGGATTTTAATCACATCAATGTGGAGCTGTCTCTCCTGGGAAAGAAACACAAGAAGGTGAGTGCTGCAGAGCTCGCGTCCTTGCCCAGGGAGGGAAGGCAGCATTATGGTTACATTTGAAACTTAGTTGGTAGCGTAGGAGATGGAACCAAAGTTTTTAGCTGCAGATGAGTTGCTTCATCTTTTACTTACTCCTGTGTTTTTTGAAAGAGGCTGGTTTTGTGGGAGTTTGAGACCTACTTGAGAACTGGGTTTCTTGAGGTTCTGTGACGTGTTGGAGTGAATTTGTGGATTGATTTTATTTTCTTTTGTAGTTACAGACGGGTAGTTAGTGGGAAGGGGGTTGATCATTACAGGCCGTTTTATGAACTGCCTGGTTTTAGCTAGACAAAACAACCTCTACATTCAATTCTCAGAATTGGCAAGTTACGCTCTCCTGATGTATCTTTTCTGAATAAATGCATGTTTGCACTGTCTTTAAAACAGCAGAGAAGGGGAAGAGTGGCTGATTTCAGGTACTTCTTCACAAGCAGCTAGTGTTCCATCAAAACACTGGGCCCACACACGGCGTTTCCTTAAAACGTTGATAGGGAGGAGGCCAACTCTGGACTAACCCGTTCGGCGTTTAGCATTGGATAAAACACATTTCAGCTTGAGCCATGAGAATACCCCCCCCAGCTTTGGAGATCAGTTAGTAATGAGACGGGAAGAAAACATTTTTCTCCCACGTCGGGGTGTTAGGATTTAAGGCTTTGAGCTAGGTGTGCCTTTCGTAGCCTTTCAAAGAAACAGAATGCTTTTGTGTTTGTGTTAGGAGTTAAGCTTAAGTAGCTTACCTGAACTTGGCACTCTTACTTTCTCAGAAAAACGGTTCGTGTCTGGTTTTGAAGCACACCCAGGAGCTCTGTTCACTCCGTTTATTTTCTTTACTGCAGCTTCGTGTTGACAAGTGGTGGGGTAACAGAAAGGAGCTGGCGACAGTTCGCACCATTTGCAGTCATGTACAGAACATGATAAAGGGCGTCACACTGGTGAGTTTCATTTTGAAATGTGGAAACTCGTGTTCTTGTTACAGCAACAGACAGCCTCTTACTTCAGTGAGAGCTTTTCCGAGTATTCCGAGATGTAGCTTTCTCTTGCTTTTTTTTTCTTGCGTGTGCTGTTGAACAAGTGCTGCAGGTGGAAGAAAGCATGAACAATGAATGTCTTTTGGGATGAGTGGCTTCCTCTTGTTAAACTATTTTGAGTATATTTTGGTTTTACGTATCTCCAGTAAGCTTTATGCCTCTGTTTTACCTGTTGGATGCGTTCTGCTCTCAGTGTCTGATGATGCCCTTTATCCTAGGGATTTCGTTACAAGATGAGGTCTGTGTATGCTCACTTCCCAATCAACGTAGTTATACAGGATAACGGCTCACTTGTGGAAATCCGAAACTTCTTGGGAGAGAAGTACATTCGCAGAGTGCGTATGAGGCCAGGTGAGCACAGCAGGAGATGTACTTTACAGTTTCTAAGCCGTTTTCTTTGGGTGCTGCCACTGATACAGGAGATGGTGAATGATGGTTGAAGCAGCATTTGCCTTTTTGAATGTATGTAACCTTATACCTTTGCCACTGTTTAGATTCATTATTAATAATGGTTTTGTAGTGTATTTTTAGTAGAGAGAGCTAATAGCGAGTGACTAATTCAGAGCTAACTATTGTAGTTACAAAGAACCCGGTATTTACTGTCATCACTGAGAGAGCTTGACAGTGTTTTCAGTTGGCAAACTGCAGGTGCTTCACTTTATATTTGCATTTCTGATTTAAACACTGCACGTGAACTGGTTTCGCACTGCATCATATCTTTGGTCTTCAAAGCCTTGCTATGTTTTAGTAACTTCCTGATGGTCTAGGAGCATGTATGATGAGCTTCAGCATTGCCATCTTACCTGTCGGGTTTTCGTCGTGCGTGCTTGAGGGCTTCAGCAGAGTGTCTAACCGAGTAGGCATCTGATGGAGCTTGTTAAACTTCTAAAGGAGACAAAACATAGCACTTTTACCTTAGGACTGTAGGGAAGACTTTCCATATCCATTGGTTTTGATAGTTCCACTTGTGGTGAAGGTAATGGGTAGTGATACTTAGGGTGATGGATGGTGTTTTGGGGTGGCTTTTGATGAAGGCATCAGACTTGTCCAAAACCACTGGTAGATTCAGTGTGGTGTTAATTGCAGTGGCTCACTAAATAGATCAAACTGAAAAACTTAGCTGTGTTATTCTCGTTGCAAACAAATGTTTCCTGTTACTCTTGAATGTCCATCTTTACTCTTTGTGAGTATTCGAAGTGTTGCCAGTATAAACATGGTGCTTGACGTGTCGGGGGCAGGGATTTTTTAATGACTTGGCTGCGGGGGGGGCTGCAGTTTTATCTTAATGAGCGTAAGGATGTGGGAAACGGCACCACCTAGCTGACAAAGCCATGCTGGCAAAATCTCTGGCTTGTGGGTGGTGGTGGTGATGAACGTGGTCATCTAACGACGCTTCGGTAGGAATATCACTTGGTGGCTTTCAGTCCAGAGCATGACTTGCACTGATCTTTGAGTTCTGAAATTGTGTGAGGGAAGACAGTCCTGGAAGGGATTTGGGGGACTCTTGTAACAAAAGGTCACAGAACCTAATATTGCCTAGAATACTACTTTCTAGATCTGTAAGTTGGGCCAGGACGTCAATACCGTTTCTTCAGCAATGCAGATGGTGTGCTTTCTTTCCTTTCTGCAGGTGTTTCCTGTGCAGTGTCTCAGGCCCAGAAGGATGAGCTGATCCTTGAAGGGAATGACATTGAATTGGTCTCCAATTCAGGTTTGTAAAAGTGGATGCGTGGGAGGATACAATGACGTGGCCGTTTCCATCTGATGATGGCAGCATAGCAAACTGTCCTCTTTTTCTCAGACCTTGAGGTAAACAACAGCTGGGAAGTTTTTTCCCCTCTAGTTGCCATAATTGCTTTCCATAGTTTCTTACGCTTTTTCTAAACTTACAGATGTTTTTACAAGTCTCCAGAATACTTTTTTTTTTGAGTCAGTACTGATGGCCTTTTTGGCACCAAACTTCACAGCTTCTCAGTTACACAAGTGTACAGTAATCAACTGTCACTGTCCCAAGTTGCCGAGACAGGCTCAGTGAGATGCTTTCCATTTTCACTCGAGCAGACAGGACCTCAAGCTGGTATTTCCTTTCTCCAGACAACAGCTTCCTTTGTTAGTTGAAATAGTGGAGTGGAAACAAAGGCTACAAGTTGGCTTGGACCTCTTTTTGTGCTAATGGTCTTGCTTTGTCTGCAGCTGCCTTGATCCAGCAAGCCACTACCGTCAAGAACAAGGATATCAGGAAATTCTTGGATGGTATCTATGTCTCTGAGAAAGGAACAGTACAGCAGGCAGATGAGTAAAGCTCTAATAGGTTGGTATCACCTTGATGCAGATTGTACACCTTCCATGTGAAAACAGCTACTTGATGTGGGGGTTTGACAAGGTGTGTCTGCTTCAACAGGGGTGTGGTTAAGCAGGTTTCCAGCAGGGATGCAGTTGGGCTTGTAAAGGGTATCGTAAAGCTTAAATCTTGCTGTGTTTCTTGGCAGCAGCTTTCTACCTCTGATCAGCTTGGTGCTATGCTCCTGGGTGGCGAAACAGCTGACTCTGCAGTGCGGTACTCCGCGCAGTGAGTGCTAGTGAGGACGGTGGCTGAGAAGTGCAAACCAGCTGACCTAGCGTGGCAGGTTGCTTTACAGCTGTTTGCAGAGAGGACTTCCTTAGACTAACGTTCCTCCTGGTTGGATGCTGGCTTCCCTAAAAAAACGGGGTCAGCACATAATTTACAGAGCGCTCTTCTGCGTGGTTTGTGCGTAATGCTTGTGAAGGAAGGTCAGCTCCCTAAGGACAGCTGTTACCTTGTGTGTGTGCATTTGTTACCGAAGGTGAGTAGAAGGAGGTTGGGATAAGCTAAGAAGTTGAACTGCATGGGGAGTTGGGTGCGTTTCAGCTCTGTACGGCTCCATACACAGTATAGAACACTCGTGCGGGATGAGACGGGCTGACTTGCAGATAACAAACGCTGCGTGCCTTCTGAGCCTAAGCTTCCGGCAGAGGGTGCAGATGAAGTGAGTTTCAGGCGGTACATTTTTATCACCAGGCATTTGCAAGCTACTGAAACAAAAAACTACCACATTTTTAGCGCTGTTTGAGTTCCTTGAGAGATGGAAATTTGTTCCTTGCTTGTTAAACGGTCGTGAGCTGTTGTGTCTGAAGGCATCTCTAATCTTGTCTGAATAAAATTAAACAAATCCCAAGCTATTAATGTCCATTTTGCATTAAAACAGGCAGATTAATTAACTTGTAATTCTATATAAACTTTTAATATCACATTTGCAGTCCTAAAACCTTTCTAAAAGTTCTTAACTTCTTATTCACAGTTGTCTGGATCCTGAAACAAACCACCATGAGATGTTGTATCGGCAAGTACCAGCTTGAATTATCTAATACACCGCGAGAGGTGTAATAAAATAAACCGTATTTCATAGCTTGGCCTCTTTTTTTAAAGAACTAAATGGTGATTGCGGGAACCTGTTCAAGACCCTTTGGCTTTTGGAGAAGCAGATTGACATTACCTTGCGTTACCCTGTGGCAGCGCTGTGCGCGCGTTGCGTTGCCAGTCTCGGAGAACGTTCAGGCTGGATGAAGCCTGCTGGCTTGGAACCTTCCTGCCGATGGAGCGTGGACTCGGAGCGTAAAGCCACGAAGCGGTGGCTTTTAAATCACAGCGTTAGGAAATGGCCAAGGCATTGTAGGAGGCTGGTATTCCTTCACGCCATTGCAGGGCCTCGGTGCTGTGTACACTTTCTGATGGGGGATTGAGACTTGTGATGACAGAATCGGAAGTAGATGAAAACCAAAACTGGAATCAGAACCAGATTTGTAAGGCCATTTAAACTCTACACAGAGGAGGAGTCTGAAAGCTGCATTGCTCAGTTAAGAAAACCAAGGCCTTGACCTCAGAGTTCAGGCAGAGCTTACTGCTGGCTTTTGGCATCAGTGGTTAGCCAAAAACCACTGGGGGTTTTTGGGTACCTGGGGATATGGTGCTTTTTCTGCCTTGCTAACCTTGCCATGCACCAGGGTCTAGGTGGGATTTCGTGCTACTTCTGTGCCGTGAGAAAATCCACGTTGTCACTTGCTAATGTTCCATTTTGAAAAAAGATTCCCAGAACATGCTAGGGTAGTGCAGAAACCTACCTGGCAAGCAGGGGCTAAAGCCGAATAGTGACAGCAGCTGTGCATGCTGAAGCAATTCAGAACCACTTGTGTGGCTCTGCTGAGATGAATGGGGGGGTGCAGTACTGCTGTCTCCGAGCCTGGAAAAGCAGTGGTGCTGCACTGCAGGTGCCGACTTTGTACGTGGCCTGCTTAATGTTTTTAAGATGGGTGCGTTTGCTGCTCAAATTGTCCTGCTAACGGTAACTTTCAGAACTCTGCTCCCACTGTGCACGTGGAATTTGAGGGGTTTCTCTGCAGTATGCTTCCGTTTCGTTCCTAGTCGTCACGTACCTTGTGCTTGACGCTGTCTTGTGTGTTCAGATGCAGTTGGCAAAGATTGTGTTTGTATGACTCATCTTTTCAGAAGATGGGGTACAGATAAAGTGCGTCTTACCTGTTTTAGGGACCTTAAGACTGAAGTAACCAGCTCCTAAGGGTAATAAGTTGGGGATTTCACGCTGTCTTGGAAATGAACCGTTACCGTAACCACAGGAAAAGAAGGTTGCAAAGCAGGGGAAGGCAGTAGGGATTCAGTGGATGCCTCTGCCTTCCTTTCCAATTCTAGAGCAGCTCCTCTCCCCCTCTCCAGAGGTGCCTGGTACCTGCCTGGGCAGTGATGATCTGAGCGTGTGGTTTGATGCCGTGACTGAAAAGGCTGGCCAGTGTGTGCTTTAGACGATGGTACAGTTCACTGAAGGAACCTGTTGGGCTCATTTTGAGACAACCAAAACCAGACCAAGGGAAACCTCTGGGGCTGGTCCCTGGGAAGTTTAAACGACAGCAGGTTCATTTATCCTTTTAGAGGCTGAGGCCTGGGTTGGTCGCTTGTGTTAAATGCAGCCACAGCAGTAAACTCCTACCATGGTTTTATCCCACCCATGGCTTGCCCTGGCACTTGACCAGAGCTAAAATGAAAATAGGTATTTATTTCTGTGAAAAAGTGCAATTGAGAATTACATTGAGCGGGCTAATAGTTACTATTTATCTTTATGTTCTCTGCTAGTAGAAATTTGTATGTCTGTCCCATTTTGGAGATGAAAAATAGTGATTGCATGTTATTTTGACTTGTCTCCTGTGGGTCCAGTTACCTACCGCGGCAAAATCCGTGAAGGAACAAGCATCCAAAAGCGCAGGGCAGAGAGAGGGAGACCCAGCTGCCCCCGCCAGGCTGGACGAGGCTTTGAGCAACCTGGTCTACTGGAAGGTGTCCCTGCCCATGGCAGGGGGGTTGGAACTAGATGGTCTTTAAGGTCCCTTCCAACCCAAACTGTTAACATCTGACCTCTACTTCACCCAGTGTGAGATACACAGGTGTGTTAGTAATGGATCTCACTTGGATGTGTACTTTGGAGGTGTCTTCAGAAGCTGGCCCAGCACATTTCATTCTTGGCTTTGTACTTAGTCGAAGGTTTGTGGGTTTTAATAACACTTTTATTTGCAAACCCTAACAACTGCAGTTTCATGCTTAACAACGCCTTTAACGTGAATGTACATCGCAGGACGCTGTGGTCCAGAGAGGTTCATAGGAAAGTGCATGTCAGTTCTCACAGCTTAGTATCTCTTTTCAAGTCAGACTGTTCAAAAGGTTATTCCAGGGCACAGGAGAGTCATAAAATGTTCTTCTTTCTTTTTGCTAAATAGATGAATTCGCCATCTTCTACCTCCAGGAGGTAGATAACAGGGATCTCATCAGAAAGAGATTGGCACAGCTCTCCTTTCTGTGCGTACGATTGCTTTGGGTTTTCCGACGAGACGCCGTGGGCGTGTGACTGGAGTGACTCATGTAGTGTTTTTCTACACTTGTCTGATCTGCATCGTCCTCTGTAGAGTGCAAACGGTGATGAATCTCACAGAAAGGGGGCTTGTGCCTCCGGTTTAAAACGAAGCATGGATGTGCTGGATGCTTTTTGCCTTAAAGCGTTTTCTTCTTTTCCTTTTGTGGAAAACAATAATGGTTAAAAGCAAAATCAGGGTAGAGAAAAGGCAGCAGGCAAAGAATATTAACGGCTTCTTCTGAGAAATAAACAAGCAGACACTACACTGCTTAGCTTGGCTGGAGGGATCGCAGACTGAGTAGGCAGCAGGGAAGCCGTTGTTGCTTATCAGGTTATTGTAAAATTTGACTGAAGGCTTTCCTTTTGACTCCGAAGTGAAGAACCCAAATCTGGGCTTAGCTTTTTCTTCGGTCAGCTTAAATGCGTAGTAGCCTCTGATCTTGACTTTATCAATGTAGTATGCTGGGAAGGGAAGGGGAAAAAAAAGGCAAACATGTTAATAAAACCTTGCATGACCTGCAGACTTTCTGGTAATGAATGCAGGTTTCAAAGGATTAATCTATCAGCTTAAAAAGCTTAATTGCATCATGAAATGTTTAGGTACACTTACTGCTTCTAACGATACTCAGCTCCCACTGTCTTATCTCAGTAAAGAGTGTGCATCATGGTTTAAAAAAAGAGTTAGGATTTGGGAATTTTCTGGACCTGTGGAAGCTGGATTTGAACAGGGTTAGAGCTGGGAGCTTGCTTTCTGGGAAAAGCCAGACACCGCTCTTTCAGCTGCAGTGACTCAAGGGGAGCAGCTGCTCATCTGTGCCAAGAGGGGAGCTTGCCGAAAATTCCTGCCCTCTTCCAAACCCACTGCTCATCCCTACAGCATGCATGAGTCTGTTACGCTGGTACACCAAGTGTGGAGTGCAAATATTTGAAGGAAATCGGAAATAGCAGCCCTTGGTGAATAGACATCTCTCCAATTCATCCGCAAGCAGACAGCGTAGTCAGGGTTGCGACCCAGATCAAGCAAGAATGTTGTCGATGGGGGCCAGGGCGGGAATCTTTCTGTGAGTGGTATGAAGTATCACGCTAATCATGGAATCGCAGACTCATTTGGGTTGGAAGGGACCTTAAAGACCATCTAGTTCCAACCTCCCTGCCATGGGAAGGGACACCTTCCACTAGACCAGGTTGCTCAAAGCCTCATCCAGCCTGGCCTTGAACACTTCCAGGGATGGGGCATCCACAGCTTCTCTGGGCAACCTGTTCCAGTGCCTCACCACCCTCTCCGGGAAGAACTTCTTCCTGATATCCAATCTAACCCTCCCCACTTTCCATTTAACCCCGTTACCCCTTGTCCTGTCACTACAGGCCCTTGTAAAAAGTCCCCCCCAGCTTCCTTGTAGCCCCTTCAGGTACTGGAACGTGCAATAAGGTCTCCCCGGAGCCTTCCTATTGGAAAATTAAAATGGGAATATTATGCTGAGTGGCCTTTAAGCAATCTTTCCCTTAAATAACTTACTGTTCCTTTGTTTGCAATGTGAAATTAACACAGAAAATAAATCATTAGTCCTCTAGTAATTGAGAAAGAGCTAAGCACTGGGGGGGTGGGGGAATGCTCTGTTTCTTGTTGGTGCTTAAAAGTAATCTGAAGCCATGCTTAGCCATGAGTAAGATCCCATTTCCCACAGAGCTAGCTCCTGGAGTGGAGAAACCAGGACACGCAGACTGTGTTCAGGGACAGTTGCCTCAAGAGCTTTTTGGTGCCCCGTCCCCATCAGGGAACTCTCTAGTGCTTGCCCATAGGGAATAGTGAGTTCAGGGAAATCCTGTCTGTCTCTTTGGCTGTATGGTTCAGGCACCAAGGCCATTCTGGTACCCTGTGACTCGCTGCTTTCCTTTCAAAGTTTGGTTGGAGGCAGAGGGATGGGAGGAGTGAGGTCCCTGCAGCATTTCTCACACAATAAGCTATTGCTGAAGATCACTGCCTTGAATGTCTTTGTCCTCTACCTCCATAACTGTCATTACTTCTTCTCTAAAGTGAAGACCTAGATTTCTGTAGGTGCACAGGAGAAAGCAAGTAGTGGAACAGGAATTAGTGTTTGACTCTCCTTCCACAAGCAGCTCCTTAAAAATCTGGTGACCTGCTGTATTTCTGTATGTCCCTCCAGGGGTCCTTGGACTTTGTGCTTCCTGCCCAGTGACTCTAGTTTAGCAAGCAAATAAGGAGGCTTCCCCCTTTCTTTGTAAAGCAGAAATGAGAGTTCTCTCGGGAGCTGTTGGTGTGACATGCCATCTCCTGCTAACTTCTGAATAACCACTCTGCTGTGTATGTGTGCCTGGATGGCCTCTCGCATGGTTTAAACCGGAAGCAGCCATGGCTGCGTTTCACGTGAGGGGCTTGATGCCATCGCTTTGGGTTGAATGCCTGGGTCTGTGCCATGGAAGTGGCTCTGGGGAACTTGGATCTGTCATATACTCACCTTTTAAAACCTCTTGTACGTATTTGCCTATGTAATAATTTCGAAGTTCATCGTTGTCTAAGGACTGGTCGTCTATTCCGTTTGCTGTGATGTAGATATCGATGTCGCCGTAGGTATTTTTGATCCAACTGAGAATTTTGCGCACTCCCCAAGGCACCACTGCCAAACGGGAAGGGGAGCTCAGGCGGGTGATATCCTGCAGAAATTGGATGTCACGATCCAGTTCATACTGGCTCCCATTCTGAGGCTCGTGAATCACAAATCTGGTGGTGAAATGATTCAGCGCGTAGAAGTCAGCCGCACCTTTGACAAGCTGCTTTTCCTCGCTTGTGAAAGACGGCAGCGAAGAGTACGAGAGGCCTTTTCTGTTTTTGAAGCCGATGTATTCCCTCATAGCAGCTGGATAGTCACCAGTCTTAAATATGGGATCGGCAAACCAGCCTATTTCAAACTGGAGAAACCTGTTGGCAGCTCTTGAGTGAGATTCAGAGTAGGGGTTGGCAGGCTCAGCCCAGTCCGAATGCAGGGACAGGGACACTTGGCCGTACTGAAAGGACCGGTACTGCTCATCATATATTTTCCAGGCCATGGCATGTGCTATTAATAAATTGTGTGCTGCTCGATATGTATCATTGCTGCTCCTGTTATAGACATCGCTTAGCCGGTTAGGCTCATTTATTGTAATCCAGAGTTTAACCAAATCGCCGAGTTCCTGAAAACATAAAGCTGCGTACTCTTGAAAGGCGTGGGCAGTGGACTGGTTCAACCAACCTCCTGTCTGCAGCAAACGACCCGGCAGGCCCAGGTAGGAATGAGTTGGATGATACAAGGTGACCATGGACTGAACATTGAGCTTCAGTACCTCACTAATCACACATCTGTAATACCTGAGGACTTGCCTGTTGACCACGGACAAATCTCCATTGGGTAAAATTAGTGACCAGTCAAGTGCGAATCTGTAATGGGTGACTTTCATTTTTTCCAGGAGGTCAAGCTGCTTTTTAATACTGACAAAATCTGTGCACTGTGCTGGCCGGGTTTTTAGCTTCACCCCTTTAACTCTGTGCAGCAGCCCATCTCCTGTGACGTTCCAGAGGTACAGGCTGGAATCACAGAACTGTGGTGAGGAAGCCACGGATTCTGCCTGTGAAAATAAAACCTGTATGTTACCACAGGGTCTGATGAATGAATGCCTGCTCGTAGTCTGCAGTTCTGACGGTGTTTGGCTGTAGGATTAGTGCTGGATGTCAGGAGATCCCACTCATGCTCTGAGGGGAAGAGGATAACTGACTGACCTACATGGGCTTTGTCCGTGTGGTTATCTTAACCCGTTTTGTTCCTTCATCTATGGAAAACATGAAAGTTGCACCCTTCTTTTTCTTCAGCCACACACTGGCATTTGCCCTGCCACCAGCCTGCGCGACATACGCGCTCGCACAGATACATCTCCCGGCTGGAGCGCGCTCTGCGGTCGTGCCAGCAGCCGTTCTCGGGCAGCTGGCAGGAGGGCAGGGTGGTAGGAACGAGCACGGCGGGATACACTGGGCAGGTGTGGATTATTCTGGCACTGCTCCTGCGATCAACCTTGTGAAACTGCCGCATAGTGTTCCCTGGGCTTACCCATAGTCCTCCTGCCCCTGCAAATACGTGACGCAAACAGCTTGTAGCATTTAGTTACATCTTCACTATCTTCTACTAACAGGGTTCTGTGTGGCACGTGATTTCTTTTTCCTATTCCAATTTCTTAAAATACATTTCGTAGGATTTGGAATACAATATGGTGAAGTTTAAAATATTTAGATTAAATCTGATTACTTTTAAGAAAATTGACTTTTCTGTGCTCCATATTAACAAAATATATGGAAGCTTTACTCTTTTTTTCCTATGGTTGTCAGTGAATAGGTTAAATTACGGAGTTCTGTTGTTATTTTTTTGAGGCTGATGTGGTGGCCATTGGACTGTCTTTCTGTATGTGATGACAAAAAGATTATTCCAACACTGGCCATACATGCAGTGAGTTTCTCTACCAAATTTAAGGTAGAATTAGATACTGTAGAAACTGAAGAGAAGGTGCTGCGACCTGTTTTCAAATGGCAGCTGAGATAGTGAAGGCCATACGTGCTCCTGTTGTTTATCTTTGCCTGCACTGTCAGCCTTCAAAGAACGGCTTGTTACCCGCTTGTCTGAGCGGCACTTTGAGCCAGGCTCAACCCAGGAATCTGTTCCTGTCTTGTTTGGTAGCTTTATGTGAGACCTTGAGCCTGCAGGTAGCTCTGCTGCTGCCGGTGTAAGCACCTTGTCCCTGCCCTGTGCCACCCTCTCTGTCGCACTGCCGTAGGCATCCCTATGGCCATATGCAAGCTGGATTGGGAAACTCCCTTGGTTGAAAAATAACGCAGAAACAATCAGTTGTGGTGAACTTATTGGTCTGAAATCCTGATCTGATCGGCCAGGTGGAGATGGAAGGCGAGAGAGGGCCAGCCTCGGAAGGGCAGAGCCCACAGCAGGAGCACCCAGCACCCGTATGACTACCTCACGTGAAAACCTGAGGAGTACATAAAAATGAACCTTTGCAGTTATGGCTTAACTTCTGTTTGCAGCGTGCACTGTGATTCCTGAGTGCACGGTGCTGTACACAGTCATTTATTCACAAAGTGAAGTTGTTGATCACTCTCGCCCCAGTGGCCTTCCCAGTCATTTGCGCTTACCTTGAGCACAGACTCGGTGATACCCCAGGAGAAGTCACAGGAGAACTGAGCTTGCAGGCTTGGGGTGGACTCCCTTGGGAAGAAGCCGTTTTCTCGTATGATTTGTTTATAGTACCGTGCAGATGACTTGGGAATCCTTTCCTTTTTTTCACTTTTGAAGTCTATATAAAACAATCCGCGCCTGATGTTGTAAGCGTGTTGCCATTCAAAGCCGTCAAGGAGCGACCAGGCTGTGTACCCGAACACATCTGTGTTGTCATACTTCACAGCTGCGTGAAAGAAAGTAACATCCGTGTGTCATATTTAGGACTCTACCGTATATAAGGGATATTTATGAGAAATGTCTACCCACTGTGAAAACCTCGAGGGTTTTCGCAACACTCACAGGGTTATTGGCCCATTGTAATTCGCTGCAAAACTGTGATGGCCACTACATACCTTATGCTTTATTCATCACGAAAATACGTGATGGTTCCTTAAGAAATTAGATTACTGTAGGATGCTTTACTTCTGCTCTGAGCAAACATGAAATACTACGCCACATCCAGATTTTAAGTTACATTTGATGATTTGTATGTAATACTAATAAAATTAGAGAATCATGGCTAAAAGTTAAGGGTGCGACAGCTGATCTAGTTTGTGACTGTGTTTGTCAGGAAGCTAAAACTCTCTACCTTTATTTAAAAGCTCTCTACAAGCTCTACATTTTGGAATGTCTATTCCGCCTCTAAACTGAAGGAGTAAATGTGTCGGTATGGAACATGAAGCTGGGTTGGTCAACCCAGAGACTGAAGCGTTTGATTTATTTGCAGAATGGGTGCAGCACGTGCGTGTTTCTCCAGGCAATCTTAATGTCCCTCCACCTTGCACGGGAGTATACAGGTAATCTTTTACATATAATACGTATGGCTGCTTTCTCAGACGTGGAACCCGATTCCAGGAAGGGCAGCAGAACTCCCAAAGCAGCTCATCGCTGGACACCAACTGACAACAACGTTCGTTACCCGCTTACAGTGTGTGCCAGCTGGCAGCCTGGAGGAAAGAGTCCAAACTCCAGGCTCAGTCACGTTAGCTGCCTGCCGCCAGCTTCAAGCTAGGAAACAATGCAGGGTAACTCCTCACGTTAAACTTAGAAGGGCTGCAGTGTCGAGGGCAAAGTAGCGACCAAGTGGCGTGACAGACGTGTCAGCCATAGTCAACCAACAGTAAGCCAAGGAATAGAGATGCAGTACTCTCATTTAAAGCCCTATTCTTGCCTAACATTGCTTTGCTGTATTTTCTCAGGACATTTCACTTTGTGCGATGTTCTATTTCCACTTTGCCTCAGTCACGCCGTGCTGCACCTGCAGCAGGAGGCAGTTTTGTGCAGGATTGGCACTCAGGCAGCAGAGTAACAGGGTGCCTGGCAGTGCTGTCACGGTGCGGCATGCACTTCTACTCGCTGCGGGATGAAGAAATCAGCAAGCCCAAGAGCTAGCAGTACAAGTATAGGAGAAGCTGATACACAAGGCCAGAACACTGGTAAGGAAATGAGGGAATGTAATGAAGCAACACAATGGCAGGTATTTTCAAGAAAAGCTTATTCTAAATATTAGGGAAACCATGGGAGAAAGTACAGAAATGTCTGAAAATATCAATTGCAAAACGCAGGGGCAGAGAATGATGCAGAGGGTAAAGACAACTTGCAACATCAGAAGGAGCGAGTCCAGAGAAGGCCACGAAGATGCTCGGAGGGCTGGAGCCCCTCTGCTATGGGGACAGGCTGAGAGAGTTGGGCTTGTTCAGCCTGGAGAAGAGAAGGCTCCGGGGAGACCTTATTGCACCTTCCAGTACCTGAAGGGGCTACAAGGACGCTGGGGGGGACTTTTTACAAGGGCCTGTAGTGGCAGGACAAGGGGTAATGGGTTTAAATGGATAGATGGTAGATTCAGACTGGATATAAGGAAGAGATATTTTAGGATGATGGAGGTGAGGCACTGGGACAGGTTGCCCAGAGAAGCTGTGGATGCCCCATCCCTGGATGTGTTCAAGGCCAGGCTGGACGAGGCTTTGAGCAACCTGGTTTAGTGGAAGGTGTCCCTGCCCATGGCAGGGGGTTGGAACTAGATGGTCTTTAAGGTCCCTTCCAACCCAAACCATTCTATGATTCTATGAGAGAGGCGAGAAGGGCCTTGCATGTTGAGTACTTCATGTCTGCAGTGAGGAAGTCTGAACAATGGATGCAGACATACAGGAACAGCAAAAGGGACAATTGAGAACAAGTAGTTTTTTTCTAGAAGCATACTGACTGGATGGGGGCTAAGTTTAATTCTCAGAGCAGAAGATGCTGTGGTACTCAGGACGGTGCATGCCTAGATGAGTATTTCTGGCTGTTTAAATGGGTAGGGGGAAAAAGCACTATTTTATATATATATTCTGTGGTAAGAAGACTTGTTAGGCTGGTGATAGGTAGAGATCCTGTGGATCAGCGTGAGAGTATGTTTGTAGCAGTGTCTGCAGTGACAGTGAAAGGAGAGGGCAGAAACGGAAGTCAGGATCCTCATTGACCCTTAGAGTGGGGAAGAGAAAATTCTCTGAAAAACCAAGGGGATGGCAGGAACAAGGGGCTGAAGGGAGAAGATGTCAGGAGTTAATTAAGCTCCCTGTGTCACCAGAGGTGACATCTCAAGGCATTTCTGCATCTGCTGTAGCTGGAGCCTTGGCATCCTGTAGAAGTGACGGTTTCAGTACTGCCAGGCTTGTGCATGCCACTGAGAAGCTGTAGTTGCAATTGCATTCTTATATCATGACCGAGGTCAGCTCACTGCAGTGGTGGTGTTACACATCACCTATTTTCATGACTCGGTGTGCCGTGAGTGGCAGACGTACTGCGGGGAGTTTACAGCACTCTCCTTGGACACACACGCAAGGGTATGGCTGCTGCTACACGGGTATATGCAGGGGTATAGCCTGTTCCATGCTTACCTCAACAGCCACCATCCCCTTACTGTTTGGCCTATGTAAATTATGTTTTGAGGTTAACAATATCTAATTGGTTGTGCTGCAAACAGCAAATGTATACCTGACTTCTCTTTAAGTAAAAATATGAAAATATCTTCCAAATACTATTCCTGAGCAGAGAAATTAAAGTTTGCGTCACAAGAAATGCGTTCGTTGAGATAATCCCGTATGTTGAGATGGGGGTTTAAGTATCTGCACACATAAGAACACAGATGACAATTCTTGAGAAGGAGTAGCTGGTTGAACCATGACCAAGTATTTTGGAAGTGTGATTCCACAGATGGTTATGACAGCCACATCTGCTGTAGAGGATTCACAAAAAGAACGTGCTGTGGATGTTCTTACGTGCAATCTGCCTGTTCCACACCTCCAATTCCAAGCCTGCGGACAGACTTTCCTGCTGCGTCAGTACAGTATTTAAAATACCATAAACCAGTGGAATGTAACCGCCTCAAAATCTGGAAAAGGCAGGACACATCGCACAGTTGCACTGTGTGACGTCAGCAATTTGAACCAACTTTAAATACAGCTGGATAATCCTCATTTGGAGCTTAATTACATTTGTTAGTGATACGGTGCTCCCTGACTTGGTGACGGAGTAAACGATTACTCCTGTTTTCCCTTTTCGGAGGATACGAAAGGTTTTTGTGAAGGGATCCGAGCCTTCCCGTCACTGCAGTGCGGCCTCAGCAGCGGGGCAGACCACTGGGAGCATGGCTCTCGGGACCAGCAGCTGCCCCTCTCCCAGCACCGAACCTGCAAACTGGGCGAGTGGGAAAAGCCATACTGGTTTTGCAGGGGCTTTAGGTACTAACAGTGTTTGTATTTCATACAAAATTACATCTTTTGCCTTCACAGAGCACCCTTGTAGGCTGGCTCTAGGAAGGGCAAATACCCAGATCAGAAGTTTGTCTTTAAAGCATGTTATCTCTGCTTGGCGTGCAGTATTCCTGAAGAACGGCTGCCCTTCTGCTGACTTCCTCCGCGCATTGTACGTTGCTTCCCCTGCACGGCAATGACAGTCTGTGGTCACTGTCTCCTTTTCCCACTGTCACGGTATGTACCTGCACAAAGGTTTTATGGTTGGGCTGCCAGCAGTGAAAAGTGATGTCCTATGTATTTGGTTTCATTCATTTCTGACTCGGTTTTAAAATCAAACACAGATGGTTGGACTTCAGCTTTCTGGGACAGGGACTGGGGGGTTTTTCTGTGTTTGTACAACACCTAGCACCAGTAAATCCAGATCCATGCCTTGTACTCATGCAGTATAAATAATTAATAATTAACTTAGTTGCCATTATCTCTAAAAAAAAAATTATTAAATCATTACTGAGCTAAATGTCAAATGACCTGAAAATGCTCTCCAAAATTCCAACAACCAACCATGTACAAACCTTGTAAAACCTTATTAATGAAGTTTTTCATCATGTAGATGGCTGTGGTGTCATCTGTTTTCACATGGCTGTCAGTGAACCAGCCGTTCTCTGCAATCCAGATTCGAGGACTGTTGTACTCCAGTTTAATCCAGTTCAGTACTCCCCTCAAATTGAGTGACAAGTTTTGTCCCATTTTTGGTAGAGTGTTCGGAGGTTTAAAGTTATTAGGACCAAAGGAAAATGCAAAGAAGTCAGCTGTTCCCTTTATGTAGCTTTTCTCATCCTCAGTAAAGCGTGGCAAAAACGAGAATTCATTTTTCAGTTCCTCTGGATAATCGCCGTCCCCATGGATGGGTTTAGCAAACCATCCGAGAACTCTCTCCATAGACTGCTGACATTTAGAAATGTCCAAAGCATCTTCTGATTTGTTAGGTTCAATCCAGTGGGATCCCAATACGATAGACATCATCCCCTTCTGATGTGGTTGAAAGCGTTTTTTATAGTTGTGCCAAACTTTTGCATGAGCCTGAGGAGAGAAAAAGAGCATTAAATTGTAACTCTCTAATAAATCTGTGTGGGTCGGCCAGGCAAGTAGCTGCATCTGATTCACTGCAGGCAGACTTGTATGGAATATTCACAAACAGCTGATTACCCTCCACAGCTGTAATGGGCAATTCGCTTGGCACTGCAAGGTACCTCAAGACAACATTAATGCTCAGTATCTCACGTGCACTGCTTCTGTGACACATTAGGGCTGTGGCTTTTTGCCTTTTACCACAGGTCTCAGTTTCACTAGAGGTCCCAGCAGGGATAAGAATAGCTGTTACATGGACGATTTGGGACTAAACAGCTGGTTTTGAACTCTGTGATCTAGGTAGTCCCATCTAAGTCCCTCTTTACCAAGCAGTGATTTCTGATACGGTTACACTTGTAAACCATCTTTACAACTGTTCCATAAATTACACATCTCAAATGATGTTTCCTTCATCAGCACTGGCTCTGTGCTATGAGGGTCACCTGGATTTACCCTGATGAAACCACGTCCACCCCATCCCTTTTCTTGGGATACACTTCCATTCGTTTTAGCTAAGTCTAATCGTATGAGTAAGTGTTCAACTTTTGATATTTGCACAATCCCTAAATGTAAAAACTTGGAGAAAGGATCCAGCTGCAAAGTTTGAAGCCAAATGTGAAGTTTCACAGTTCTGTGGGAGAATTTTGATCCAGGATTTTTTTCATTTCTTCTTTAAAGCTGCCATAATAATAATTTTTCTGACAGTACATTGAAGAGCACAGAATGAAGCTTATTCACTTTAAGCAGAATGCAACAACACTTTGGTTTTAAAAGGAAATTTGGCAGCAGTATCTCATAAGATCTATTGGGTATGGCACATTTAGTACTCTTAAACAGCCAAAAATGCCCTAGGACAGACAGAATTTTTGCTATCTGTGTTAGTGTCAATGAAAGCCTATCTTGTAGCACACCTTAATTCAATTTTTCCAATTATCATCATGTTTTAGGAGGCTGAACATTGTCACGCACCAGGGTTACCTTCAAATGTCATGTTGCTAATTACTTAGAGAATGCAGCAGTCAAAATTTACACACATGCAAGAAAAGGAATACCTGGGAGGCTGAGGGACCACTAGCACTGTCCGAGTCCCATGGGAAAAGGGGAGAGTTAGGGTGTCAGAGAAGGATGATTCTGGATCACAGAGCTGAGGAGTTGTCAAGTAGGGTTTACATTATTCCTGACATGTGGCTCTATACTCTTAAACTGGAAAGAAAATTACTGTTTGCACCCAGAAGAAACATGGAGAGAAGCATTGTGAAACGCCTAAGAGTGCCGAGTTAGGCTGGCATCATTACCAAGCCAAACAGCACTGCTTATCTTTGACAATAATTTCAGTTAATTTATCTAGAAACACACAGCTTTGACAGTTTAAAAAAACAAAAGACCTGATGTCAGGTAGATATTTGCTTAAGCGAGGGAGTACCAAAGAATTACAGTTTGTGAAATTTTGTGTGTCAGTTGTTTATGGTTTCTAAGGTCATGCTCGTAACATTTGTTCAAGGTCTGTCTTTGAAAATACTGATAAAGTAACATTAACCTTTGAAATGCAGGTTCTGTAGCTGAAAAGGGAAGTCAGCAAAGTTGTACTCCTGAGGCAAACTGCAGTTAAAATATTATAAAATATTAAAATCAGTCTGATCAGAAGATGTAAGTGGCCAGTGCCATCCCCTCGCTTACCCTCACTGTCCTCTCCTGACGGTCTAGCCTGGGATAGGGGCTGGGGCAGGCTTGCTTTGTGCTCTGCCTCTACTGATTTCTCCCCTGGTTAGTATATTTTTTTCCCCAGACACAGGCTCCTAACACCACTGTTTAATGAAAGGTGTGTGGTTGCGTTGGCTCAACAAGGAAGGCCGTGCTGAAGTTAGCTGTATTATGTCAAGTTGCAGACAACAGCAGCAAGTAAATCCTGGCAATCACACATTTCCAGGGGAAGTGGAGAAGTTTGCCAAAAAGCAACTAATTTAGGATGCAATATTGGCAGGGAAAAGACAATCAGGGATAACTGACTGTATCAGTATGCACTTTAGAGAGGTTCAGTAGGAGAAAATGAAGTTATTATTAAAAATATTGTCTACAGTAGAGAATACAGGCACAGGTATAACTCTCCAGGAGCAGACCTGAAGTACAAATAAGTACATTTAACATGAGTCAAGATAGGATCCCCATACATGGGTATGTCACTGATGTCTCACTGAGGGTTAACTCTACTGGAAAAAAATGTCATTTGCCTGTGGTGAGGGTTTTTACTGACACAGCAGAGACAATAGCGTTTGCTTGCCTTGAATTCTGTTGTGAGTTGTTAATTATCTGTAAGGCAGCGTAACATTCTCAGGTGCTGGGGGTTCGCTGAGTGCAAACTACTGTGGATGGAACCAACTGATGAAAACAATTTATTCTGTAAGACCACATATGAAACAAACATCACTTTAAAAGCCGTACCGTGCATCCATTTGGCTATTTTGCGTAAATCTTGACTAATCTTTTTTTCAGTTAGAGTTTAATCCCTAATCTTTCACTTTCCTTGTTAGATCAAGGACAAATGGCAAGGCTAAGTACACAGTGAAAGCAGGATCAATAGTGTGTATTTATTCTAGATACATATGACACATTAATTTCAGCATATTTTCCTGGTATTAATACAGAAATAGTGCCATAGACTTGAAAGTCGCAGAGAGTGCTAAGTCAGCTAGTATTAACCCTGAAAAATACTAGGTAAGTCAATTTAATAAAATTAAGACTACAGTATTGTTCTCCTCTCTTCTTAAAATATTCTCATACTCCTTCAAACTCTGATCCTGTAATTTATCATGTAGATACGCAAAGAGTTAACTACTGAAAGACCAATACTTTCAAATTCTGAAGACATGTTTAAGTCAAGCAGTTTTCCTTGAATGTCTCAGCAATGAGCACACAAAACAATGTCAGGGGTATATGGAGTTACTTAATTGTGCTGGAGAGCAAGAACGTTTAGGAAAACTATTTAAAAGATGCTAATAAAATTATTCTGGTTTTGTGTTTAATTGTTAAACCATGACGAGCTAGAATATAGAGTCTGATGATGGTGTAAAGCACCACTTTAGAAGACAGGCAGGTGTGTGTGGCTTATTTGGAGAGTATATTTTGGTTCAAGGCCCTTTTGGTCTGTGGTAAAGATGCCATGTAGTCAGTAGAGCTAAAGCCCTTATTTTGCAAACTGACTCTGAAGCTCAATCCTTTTGAAGGCAAAAAGGGCTGTGGAGATGTAGACAACTTAATTTCTAATAAGGTGGTTTGAAGGATGGAGGCTTTACTATCGAAACTGTTGTATGCTAGCCATCTTGCATTTGGAGTGAGTTTTTCCTGATGATTTCTAAGAAGTGTAAGAAAGATAGCCTGAAACTAACAAACCATACAAAAAAAGTGTGAATCAGTGCTGAATTTTACATCACTGACGGCTACTACTGTTTGGAAAATCTTCCTGCAGAGACATGTGCAAGCACAGACAATTCTGCTGTCCACTCCAGAGCCATACTTGATGGAGGCAGATTTCCCTCCTACTGTAATGAATATGGACAGTGATGTAGCTTCATCTTTCTAGATCCCGAGGAAAGGAGGCCCCCCTGGAGGAAGGGAGGAAAGTGTCTTCCCTTGTAGAAGATGTAGAGATAAAAATTATTCCCCATTCATTCAGTAGGAATTTTGTTTTAAGGAGAATGAATTAGGGGACTTCTTTGGGACACACTCATCCAAAGATCCCAAAGGCAGCAGTGTCCACGATGAGATCCTGGCAGAGAGCGACCGAAGAGCTGGGAGCAATGCAGCTGGGCACAGAGATTAACCTGATCCGTTACAGATCTATATGGAGACATCATGTTTGAAAGGGAATTGATGGCCCTTTCCCAGGATGGGATATGAAGGTGTCTCCATGAAGAAAATTTTTAGGGAGATATTATTCTGACAGTTTTCTTTTGAGCTTTTCTGCCAGATGGAAAGGACTGTGAAGGTCTTTAAGAGGAGAGAAAAAAGCCCCTTTCTGCCTCTTACTTAGCAAAGGCAGAACTGCCTGGAGGGCACTGATACAGAGTATGAAAAGGAGCCTGGTCTGCTGTTCGTCATCTTTACAAACCTCAATCTAAGTATAAAAGAGCATAACTAGATCCAGAGAAAATGGTAATCATATATCAGGTATGTATCTCTTAGCTCCAGCCACAATGATTCAGCTGCTTTGTATTTTCTTGCTTCTTGCCAGATTTATTTACAGTTAAATCAAAGAAATCCATCTAATTTTCCTATGTGCAGATTTTCTTCCCTTCCTCGGCATGACAGCTGCCTCAGGAGCAAGCTCATGGTTTTTGTATCTCCTTTGATGTCTTTCAGATGTCACATGGCAAGTTACTTGTTATCATTAATTGTTTTCCGCTGTTGCTTTTGTGAAGTACAGTCTCCTTTAATGAAGAAAGGAGATAGACTTTTGATGCCCACTCTCCATCTGGTATAAGATTCCAGTGCTCCTCGTATTAGTGGTAATGGTCATACAGTTGAAAAGAGATTTATCGAAGTGAACCCCTTAGCAATTTATAATTGATATGCGTCACACTTCAAATTTCCATGGAAGTAGTATCAGGTCATTCAAAATGATCTGTAGCAATTATTACCCTCTGAGGGTCAACAGCGTACAGAGTAACATGCAAACATGCAAATACGGTTTTTAAATTGAAATTTTGAGTTCTGTGGATTATTATCTCCATGGATCTCCTCAGCATCCTGCTTAGCAGCCTTTCCTTCTGCGTTCACTAGCCCTCTTCATGGGTCATGAGTAGCAAGACCCATGTAAAAGGCAGGACTGTCTCTTAAGGAGATGTACCTGGGGTGTTCCCCTGAAAGGATGCAAGGCACAGAAGGAAAACACAGGCAGTAGGTGACGGAGCATCTGCAATGCCTTGTGCGAGCCAACACCATGGGGCTCTGGGGCTTGATGAAGACAGACCAATCCTACTTCTATTGAAAAGCCTTAATAAGATCGTTATCTACCTAATTACCTACTGAATTCATTCACGGAAGCAGATAATTTTTTAATCGGTTCTAAAATGCATGGAATCTTTCCTTATGCCCGCCAATTATTTAAGTTGTTGAATTTCTTTAGTGTACTGAAATTGATAATTTAAAATCCAGAGAAATTTCTCCGGCCCTCTTCTAGAGACACAAAAATCTCCAGCACCTTTCAGACTGGTCTTACGATTACAATAAAATAATCCAAAGTCCAAAAAAAGCAGAGGTTTATGGTTTGTTATATTGTTTTTGTGATTCCAGGTAACTTAGCTTCAGTTTATGATTAATATATCTCATAAAAGCATTCCTTTATGTAAATGGTGATCAGTTCTCACAACATCAACAGTGCGCTGGCAAATGAAACTAACAGTAGGACTCATGAGAGGCTCACATGTTTTACCCAAAGGTACTACAAAAAGGTTTGAGAATGATTATTTGGCAATGTGCTACGTAACATCGTGGTGGCCAGATTAGTTTCCTCTCAGCATTACAGACCTGTTTTTCCCAATCAGCATTTTTAATGGGTGGACCTGGTAATGTGCATAGGGTGTCACGGAGAATGTTGTCTTTCAACAGCCTGTCCAAAAAATGAAGCCTCGACATAGACAGCTGGCTCTTCCCAAAGCCACTGGCATAAATGGGTATCTTCCCAAAAGCCTTCACAGGCTTTGCCTCACACTGCCAAAACTCAACTTTTCTGTTGGTCTTTTGTTTTTGGGAGGGCTTTTTTGACTTGCAGTAGTAAATCAGGGTAGCTGTAATACATCATCTGAGAAACAGATTTGCACGTACCAGTCCTGAAATAAAAAGCCATGTGAAATCTCTTTAAAGACAGATTCTTACAGCATTTCCTGCCTCTCAAAAGAGTGACATTTCCCAACACCTGAGTCCTGATTGCGCATCAATGCATTTTATTAATAATATTGAACAAACTGAACATTTAGATACCCACAAAAATCTTTGAGAAACATTCCAGCTAGTTGTTTTGAAACATAAATATGTTAAAGTCTATGACTTCTGTGGCATGGCTGGCTTCAATTGCATTTTATTAAGGAAAAAAAAAAACAACAGAAGAGTTGACTCACGTCAACTGGTACCTTCCCTTCCACTTCCAACCCCAAATATCAAACTCCAGTTCTCAAATACCTTACTACCAATTTGAGATGCTTCCTGAAGACCTAAAATCTTCAGAAATTTTACACTGCTATTACATGAGGTAGTGTTCATGGGGCTGTAAGAAAGATACAAAATGAAAATAATTTCTGCTCAAGGATAATGCAATACTAGTTAATGGATTGTGTGTTGCTCAGTGTCTCAGTAACTCTTTCACTGAAGTGATTTGTTTCATACTCAGATTCTCAGACTTTAAAACTAGAACCAACGATCAGATCAAGTCTGAGAGTTAAATGCTATTGACCAAGGCACTGAGGTCAGTAATCTGTACCTCAGACCCAGCTGTGCTTGGCTCCCTCCAACATCCCAGTGATTCTTCAGCAGAGGTATTGCTCCCTATGTGCTGTGTGCTGCTTACACAGATTTTACGAGGGGGAAAATGCAGAGACTGCCTAGTTGGTACCTCAGTTTTGATGTGCCACTCAGAAATGAAGGCAAGAAATGCTGCAAAATTACCTTGTCTCTTTTACACGTATTATATGAAATATGTTTTATATAGCACATGAAAATAAAAAGAATGATTGAGCATCAGTTCTCTTGGAGATGATTCACAAATCCTTATAGTTAAATCATTCTTCTGCTAAGTCTGAAATCAGTGACTCAGAATGCTGGATGACTTTTCTGTGTGTAAAACTTCTAGTAACTACAGTGTGATTTTTCTGAAAAAGGACATTCTGCAGGTTCAAGCCCAGAAGCAAATACAAGAAATAGAAAAGGCCAGTCGCAGAGTATTTTTATCTACTCTGGCGATTAATTTTTTCCCCATGTGCATACTTCTTTCTCTAGGACAAATATGTTCAGATTTATTTGTGAATTGCATTTATAATATATGTTAGGTAGTAGAAAAATTCTCTTTGGGACAGCTAGGAATAGTTTGATCAGGAATTACACTAGCTGCTCTACCAAACAGAGACAGGACAGTGACCAGCTCTGTAAAGTACTTTGAGCGCTACAGATGAAAAAAAATGCTGTATTGATATTGTTAATTCTTACCTTAAACTGCTGTTACTGGAAATTGTTTTAAATTATAGCAAGAGAAAGTAAGAATATAAGCTCCTATGCATAGGAGCTGGCTACTCTGCAGGATGAAATTACTAATCAGAGGGGATGCTGTTAAGTCAGTAATCCTGCTGAGAGTACCAGGAACAACATCTGCACTTTTTTCCTTAAAAATATGACCCTCTGAAGTCTTCTCTTTTTGTCCTTCCCAAAGAAAGAATACCATGAACTTAGGACACAGTACTAATAGTTGTTGAAGCTATTGATCACGGGATTGAGCCTTTTGGATGTGTAATTCTGTAGAAGACAGTTGATAAATAAGACTGACAAACACTAAAATGCTAAAAACATCATGGAAAGAATGTAATTTTAAACTCTCAGATACTGAAGAGGACATTTGTTTTCTTTCAAACCCAAGAACTGCTGACCTTGCTAGTTTGGCAATAAACATTTTTCAGTATGATCTTACTAATCTCAAACTAATTATGTATGCATACTCTATTGCTAGCAGAATTGGTCCAATATGCAAATTCAAGTAAATTTAATTTTAAACTAATGGGATAGTCATTTCAGTGTAGCTGAATGAATGGTCATGTCAGTATGTTTAACTAAGGGGAAAGAATAAGAAGGAAAATCATGGTCTTTAATTACCAGATTTTGCAGGTAAAACCTAATTTCAATTAAATCATAAACAAGCACATTAAAAGAAATAATTACTGAATCAGCTGTTGTGACAACAACAATAAAATCAACATGAGGATTAAAAAAAAAGACTGCCTTAGCTAAGGGTTATTTCTTGGTGTTTTCACATTCCTTGATTTTTTTTTTTTAACATTGATTACTGATTGATTCCTCCCATAATTTCCCATGGCAGTGCAAGATCAGTCTGTAAAATCTTACTATACTGTACCTTGATCAAATTGTGTCCTACAGAGTAGACGGTTGTTATTTTCCCTCTCTCTCCGGGAGCATGAATACCTGTGCCATACCCATGCCAAGCAACTAAATACGGATTGTGGATTGTAATCCAATACCTAACACGATCCCCAAACATCTGGAAGCAAAAGGTGGCATAGTCATTGAAGATATCAATTACTGATTCGTTTTTCCATCCCCCATATTTTTCTTGCAGCATCAAGGGCAGGTCCCAGTGGTAGAGCGTAACCACGGGGTCAATATTTCTGTAGAGCAGAGCGTCAATAAGGGTGTTATAATACTGGAGTCCTTTTTCATTGGGAGCTGCTACCACTCCAGTGGGAAAAAGCCTTGACCATGAAATTGAAAACTGGTAAAAAGTAACTCCCAGAAAATCCAGAGCCGACAAATCTTTGTCCAACAAGGTGTAACTGTCAGTGGAGGCATCTGTGCTGTCAGCATCCCTGAACTCCGAGTGGATGAAGCTGTCCCAGACAGAGGAGCCTTTGCCGTCCTTCCTCCGGCTGCCTTCCACCTGGAAAGCCCCCGTCCCTACACCCCAAAGAAACTCTTTGGGGAATGTGTCATACAAAAACATCTGTGTTTCACTCACGGGACTGAAGTGGGGGTCCTTTTTCCACACGGATCTTCCCTCTCCAGCAAGCCCAGTAACTATCCTTATGAAAACTAATGTCCAAAAAGCAACAAATCTCTCCAGTCGTTGGCCACACATTATGCCGGTTTATAGCGCCCGTGTTAAAAGTCAGATTTCTTGCACTGACACTGAAAAAAATCCATTCATTCGCCGGAGTCCCTGCCGTGCAAACCGTCTGCATTTGCCACGAACTGCTGGAGTGTCTTATCAAAGCTTCGCTAAAAGCTTGTGATCGTAAAAGCCCTGTCAATGATTAGCCTGAACTGTGAGACCTAGAACGGGTCAGAGAACGGTGTCATTTTTAGGGAGGTGGCCTCTGTATGACCACTGAGACGCCCAGCTGGCTTCTTACTGCAGGGAAATAGGTTGACTGAACAATAAACACTAGTGACTATTTCTCATTTGGGTGGGAGAATATAGGTGACAGAGGGTGCTAAGAAGCTATCACATCCTTTATTCCTCATACAGCTGTATTTTGAGGAAGCGTGGCAGAAATATAATTCCAACTACATAGTCTCCAATTAAAAGGTGATTTATCCTGTCTGTGTAATTGGATGGCTGGAAGGGCAGTGCATCGTTCCTCAGTCCTGCCCTGCTCAAACATCCCACTTCGGCTGAAAAATTCTCCCTGGACTCATGGGAAATTTTACTGTGGACAAGAGATATAGGCACATCACACTAACTATACACAAACGCAAAGCAAGCCAGTATTTCTTTCCAACACATGCAACCGTTTTCCTGTCCTACAGAAAAGTCTGCTGTACGGCTCTACGTGCAGCAACAGCACAAAATTAACAGGGCTCCGTTCTGGTCCTTAAGCAATTTCCCTGGATTTCTTCAAATGAACACAATCAGTGAAGAAAATTACACCCGAAAGATGCTATTTCAGTACTGATTAATTTAACAAGCTTGGTAGAGGCAGCTGGGGCATCAGTACAGCAGATAGCTTACAGAGCAGGTATGCAATATAATTTGATATTTTAACATATTTCAAATTAGAGCAAAACTTCATGTGTTGAGATATAGTCAGTTTACTCAACCCAGGAAGGCTGATGCCTGCCATTTTTGTTTTTCCTGAGGTAGTCATACAAAGCATATCCACACTGCTGAAGAGATTTGCAGAACAAGATAGCAGTGCGAACTAACTTTACGTGCAAGAAAGACAGGCACTGAAAGCTGAACATGGGAACAACTTACCACCTAAGCACAGCACCCTGCTCAGATGACTTAGGCCTGCTGGCATGTCGGACACGAAAGCCCAGAGGGACTGCTGGGCTACTGCTGCTTTACTGCTCCTGCTCCCTGCGAGAACATGCTTGCAGCATTGCATAACGCCACTGAGACACAGCTTTAGTTTAACACTAAAGCTGATTAGTCAATAGAAGATGGAAGAAGTTTTATTTATTTGTTTTTAAGATAAACAACAAAACCTCAATGCATGTTTGTAAGCATTTCTCTGCAGCATCCACACAAGAAACAGTTTCACTGCAGGTGAAGAATAAAGCTCCCGCTGACATCTTCTGTACTGCAGATCCCTGCTGGCGGGGTAGCCACGCACCTAACACGAGTCTCTCCTGCATAACAAACCCGGCACTCCCTCGACTACCTGAAGTAACTGATCCACACTTCTCAGCCCAGATCCTACATCCTACCAAAGGCAGCTTGGGAAAGAGAGGAGTAGGTAGGGACTGTACCACGTTGGTCTACAGTATATACTGACATGTTCCTTTTTTATTCTACAGAATAGCATTTAAAAATGCTAGTTTGGATAGTTATTGCATGAACATAATCCTCCTATTTTAACATTTTGATGTGTTGTTTGTATGTATCATACTTTATGAAAGAAACCCCAAGTGGTTGTGGATGCCTCTATACTTACAAAGCAGCTCGTTCCTTGACTACCAGATGCTTGAGTCCAAAACACCCACGACAGCTTGGGAATGTTTCGGCAAGGTACAGACAGTAGGTTTCTCCCCACTCACCAAGCAGAGCGGGTACCACAGGCATTGCAGACAATGCCTTGCATCTGCATGAAGTGTGAAAGGTGCAGCAGAGACATGCTCACAGACGCTCGATCTGGACAAAGTTATGAACTCTATTTCTTTCCTTGTTATTGAGATGACTGGGAGCATGCTATAATTAAAGTTTGAAAATGTTTCAATGTTTCCAGCTTCTGAATCCAGTTTCTTACTGCTTTGTCATACATAACTGTTTGGGCTATAGTATTACTGGATAAAGAGAAAGCAATTTAACTGATGAGAGTCATAAAGAATTTGGAAGGAGGTTTTGATTAGCTGAGGGAAAAGTTGGGGAAAGGAAACACTGTGACTGTTAATTTGGAAAACAATCAGCAGAGATGAGTGAGATGTGGTCTGGGGCTGTTGAGAAGTGAGAGTGCAAAGGGAAGGGAAGAGGAAGGAATGAATTATTCCATTAGCTCAAGCGGCAGAGTCAGTACAGGTTCCAGCCCTGGTGCTCTGTGTGGATGTCAGTATGATGCTGCACAGTGGGATTTCCTGCCTCTGACTGTGGCTGAACAAATCTGGATTCAGAGTGTATCGGGCATGGAGAGGTGAGGTCTCCAGGGCATGTGCCGTAACCCTTCCAGTAGTTGGGAAGCCTAATGATTGATTATTCAGTTTAATTCTTAGCTGTCAAATTTCCTTTTCTATCTTTGCCTCTGCCAAAGCAAGTGATTCAAATGACAAAAACAACTCCTCACTTGACCACTGAATATGTGTTCTCCTTGGTTTAGGGGCTCAGGTGGAAAACCTGGGGTTAGATCTGCAGAAATCCCAAACACGTTAGTGGAAAGGAGTAGAGTTTTGAATGTATGCAATGTTAGGCTGAGTTAAGACACATTCATTCTGCCTAGATATGCAAATGAAGAGAGAGAAAAGACCTAGAGCCAAAGTTCAGTTAGAAAAAGCGTAATGTTTACATTAACATCAGCTGCTCAGATCTCCCCAGTGTTAGGTGCTCCAAAAAGAACAACTTATGTAATATTCCTCCAGTGTGATGCAAATCAAACACCTTTACCTTATACAGCAAAAACTGTTTGAGAAGGGATCAAGTCTTTTCTAAAGACACATAATTGTGATGGATACTATAGAAAGCCTAATGTAAATAGAAACTAGACCACAGATTTACAAAGAATTTTTGGAATTTTTGGTCTGCAACAAAATGCTAATTCATGTTTCTACAATGTGAGGGAAATTTGATTTTCTTTACTAGAGACTCTAGTAAGCAAATTATTCCCTACGAGATTCCTCCAAAACACAATCTACCATCTCGTAAATGAGTATTTTAATGTTGATTCATGCTATGAAAAAACACAGAGTTTAATATGAAATTTCCATTTCAGGAAACATGTTTTTGTTGTGCTTTCCCAAGCACCTCAGCATTACCATACTGTATTTCTTTAGGGCAATTCCTAACCCCCAGAGGTCTTTTGGACTCATAACGAAGCTCAGAACATCTCTGTTCCATTGTAAAGATTTCTTAAATGACCAAAATGTCCCCTAACACACAGGCAAAACACTGCCTTATGGCCTTCAAAAGCATCTCAGTGCTAAGTTACAAGTATCTGCCTTATACTTAAATTTAGTTTCAGGCAATTCAAAATACATGTTTTGTAGAGTAGTAAATAAAGCATTGCTTCAAAGGTTGCAACGGAACTTGATTTCAATTAAAAAATTGTATCAACGTATCAATATACAAAACTGAAAATAAAATTAAAAATAAAATATTAACAAAAAGAAAATAGACTTCTTATTTCTCTATAAGAAAAAGTATTTTTCTTATAAACAATCTCCTCTCAATAAGCAAGACAAAGCCTTCACTAATAATAACAACAGTAGGACTGGTTTTGTTCAGTAAGGGAAAAAACCCCAAGCTCAAGGTAGTAATTCACTTCTTTTGTGTATTTTGGAAAAAAAATATAAAAAGCCAAATAGTCAGTGATTTTCAGAAAGGTACAAAACAAGTCTAATTTTTTAGATTATTTGTCTTGGTTGTAAACAGAGTGATGATACTGAGTGTACTTTAGCTACTTTTTAAAAAGCTGTACTTTCAGTTGGGTAATCTCCCTTTAAAACATGATCCATGACTAATTATACATTCAAAAGAGATACTGCCTTCATTTTAGCTTGCAAAGCACATCACAGTACAATGAGTATTCTGTTTTGTTTCCTGTGGCAGAGCAAGGTTTTTCCCACTTCCAGTGGTTTCACAGCCATGCACGTAGAAACAGAGGTATCCCGTGTCTCCCCACCATAGCCAGGAGTGGATTATAGTCATTCCAGGTATTGCCTGATGTCTTCATAAAGGGTTAAACTCTTGCCTTCCAAGAAACATGAACATGTCACAAGCCCACAAGCAGATACTGCTCTGCTGGATGTTATTCCAGGTAGCTTTATCAACTACAAATAAAGATAACCACCTGCAATAATTCTTTTAACATTATTTAAACAGTTTGTCTGGCTCTTACAAATGTCAGCCATTTTAACTACTCTTTAGTTCTGCTATCAGGAATACGCACAGCTTTAAAAATTACATAATGAGAATTGAATACGTAAATACGCACGTATCGCTGGAGATGTTTTTCTAAAGCGATAACCAGTTTTGTTTGCATAGCCATTATAGTTGAGTGCATATGGAATAACTTGCAAAACAGAGTGAGAAGCACAGCCTGCGCTGTGGGTCTGCATTTATTTGCCCTGTCTCTGCATCTTATGCAGAAACCCAAACTCACACACTATGCTGATGTTGAAAATATGAGTCCACCTGACCATGTGCGTTCATAAAAGAATAGCAAATTCTGTACAAACAGGGTCTTACAATTACTTAAAGTCCAATTTAAGGAATTAAACAGGAATGGTAATAGGTATCATTAACATTCATGTTTTCTCAGATCAGACAATAAGATCTCACTTTTATCTCTATGTAATTGTTTTTGCTGGAGTTTGACCATGCCGCCAAGCAGAAAGTCTTGTTCTTGGGAAAAAGAAAGAAAACGAATACAGAAGATACACAATGATAGCACTGGGAATTGCACTATGAAATAAGTAAAAATTGAGCTTGTACTATTTGCCTTTTTTTTTTTTTTATGCGTGGTTTTCTAAATCAATGGCAATATTTTTAATGTTACAAATTCTGTTTGGCCTCCCTGTTCTTCTCCAA